AGGCGAGTTCAATGATATTGTTAGATTTACGGTTATTCGGGTAGAGTTAGAGTTAGACAAGAAGTGTGTACGACGAAGCTATGGGGGATGGGATTTGAAGGTGGTGGATCACGATCAATCCTCGTCCGATTTCGACGAGGGAGAGCTATGCACAGGGTTTACTGGGTGGGGCGACCGTCATGGAGGGCTCGGATGTGCAGCCCATGCCGTAGTTTGGACGCGGTTAGTATTGCAGGCTGCGCCTAGCGGTTTGGGATGTGTATGGATGGACCTGGCCGTGGTGTTGGCCAGGTACCTTTGTCTATTTTGACGAGCTAGCAGAGAAAGAAGGAAAGTCAATCACTTGAGGTGAGAGAGAGCGAGAGAGAGGCAGAGGAGGGAGGAGATCAAACATACCTGTCAGTTTGGGGTCGCGCTCGTAGGAGGGAACCTGCGGAGTAGCAAACCAGCGGGGAGGGAATAGAAGCTAAATGAATCTTTCCGCACTTTGGCGGAAGATTTATTCTGATTTTGTTCATCCAAACGATAAAGGTGGCGGATCCCTAGCTCGCCCAACGCATGACTGGATAGCATGCATTTGGCCGTGCTCCGGCAGGAGATTCAATCGGCTTGACGGGAGCCGTACGGGTTGGGGGCATACCTGTGGGCCAGTGCGCACCAGCAGACAGCCCAGTCTGGCTTGCTTGGTCGAACAGGGGAGATAGCGAGAGCACAACAGAAGGCGGAGGATTTACGGGTTGGCGGGTTCGTCGCTCGTGCGATCTGTGGAAGTAGCAGGAGGCCAGCCGCAGAATTGAAGACTTGTCTGTCCGCCGGTGCATTGCTCAAGGCCCTCCCTCTTTCCTCTCCGCACGCATGTGTGCGACAACTCGTGCATTTGGTCTGGACCTGGCGAGAGGGTCATTCGATTTTGCCCACCCTACCTATGGGTTTAGCGTGAAGCAGGCTGTAGGGCTGGAATACTTACGTGTTGCTTACTGTCGACAGTCGAAGCAGCCAGAGGACGAGCCGCAATGGTCTGAAGGCTGCCGGCTGGTTGGAGTGCTGCCCACCCAGCTAGAGTAAGGGAGTGAGGAGCGATCAGCGGTGCGGGTTGCTTGGTGAACGACGGGGTGTCTGGTAGCTGGTGTGAAGCTAATCTTGTTGACGACAACAGCGGGGTGATTGTGCTCGCTGGAGGGAGAGTCAACGAGTGATGCTTGGACCCTTGTTGACCAAGACTGCGGTGCGGTTGGCTGTCATTGCGGAGACTGAGAAGATTGTGTTTTTGATCCACAACCCGTATTTTGGGTTGTGGTCAGGACGCGCTAGACCTTCGAGTTTGCGGAAGGGATTGACTGTTGAGGGGGAAAAATTGCTGTGAACTAGAGAATTGCCAGGGGGCCTTCAGTCTGTGTTTTAGTTTCGGGCTGGCTACCTTCTCGACGTATTGGCCATCATTGCGGGGCCCTAAGGCGCATCAAGATAACGAGACCCTCTCCTGCGAGTCTGAGAGCACCCTCCTTGGATCTAAGAGTCTTAAATTCTCTCCTTCTGCCCTTCTTATTTCTAAGTCTAATCTTGATCTGAGAGGAAGGTGGCAGGCGGGATTGCAACCCGAAGGACCGCGTCAAGACTCTGTGGGGAGTCAGCCCACCGATTGCGGGAGCTCTGCTGGAACGCAGGAGGAGTTCTGGAGGCAGGGAACTGAAAGGTAACCACTAGTTTCCCTCTATATGCGCTGGTATAACCCCTACTTGTACGTCTTGCTACGTTTGACTGAGTATATTGTATGCACTCCTACTTTGACCTTAGTTCGATTGGCAGGATATAACTCAAATTAAGTAAAGGGAATGTATGAGGAATCTCAGTTTCAGTTTTTGATTGCCTGAAAGCAGACTTGCTCAGAAAAAGGAGGGGTTGTATCTGGGGGAAGGGTGGGTGAATGGTGGTTTTGCTTGAGCTTGGTAGGGTCCTATGGGGTCAGGCATGTTCCATAAGATTGGATGGCCTGACCGCTGTGTTTTATTCTTTGAGCTGCATTGAGAATCAAACAAGTTCTATAAGATTGGATGGTCTGATTGCTCTCAACTGTGAGGGCGTGACTGTGGTTGACTTTTCAGGAGCCAAGCCTGTACCATAAGATTGAAGGGCTTGGTTGCCGTGTTTAGTTGGGGTTTATTCTATTTCTTTTGTTTCGGATCGAGGGGGCCTAGGCAAGTCCATAAGATTGGACGGCTCAGCCTCTTCCTGTTTTATTCTGAGGGGATAATTCTCGCTGGAGGCAAGGCATGTCCATAAGATTGGACGACCTTGGAATCATGCCGCACACAGTGGATCAGAGATAAACGAACCTGGCAGAGGACCGGATATGTTCCAAAAGATTGGATGGTCTGGTCCAATGCCTCGCACATGCTGGAACTCAAAATGTAAAAACTTGGCTATATTTTATATTATTCTATCTATGAACAGGCTAATCAGGCACGGGGGTTTCATAAGATTGGATGACCTGACTATAGCTTATCACAACTTGAAGAGAGTATAACAAAGAGTATAACTGAAGGTAACATTGGGCAGGCTGGGCCTTGTTTCTAAGATGAACGGCTCAGTCCTATGCTCAGTGTTTGAACACTAAGCTCAGAGAGGTATATATAACCTGGATATTAAACAGTTTAGGACGACTAAGCCTTGTTTCTAAGATGAACGGCCTAGTTATATGCCCAAAGAAAGAGAGAAGTTGTTGTACAACCTGGTCGTGTATACTTGATGGCTAAGTCAGGCATGTTCCATAAGATTGGATGACCTGGCTTTACGCCTTATGTAACTTGGGTATAAATGGGTAACTTACTGAGAAGACACGAACTATTGTTTGCTAAGTTGACTTGGGATTAGTGAGAGTACTTACCTTTGTGGTTTGGCCTGCATGTGATTGAGTGAGGCTACTACTTGGACCGAGTTTCAGGTTGATAGGTAGTTGCTTTAGTCGCTCACCACGTGCTAGAGCCACATGAGTTAGTTTCGATTCCTGCATTTTCGGAGCTAAGTTTATTTTACTTAGATCCATTTTCGCATTTCCTGAGATCAATTGTTATACTTGGCTTTGTATAAATTTTGGTAAGCTACTTCCTCTACGGGAAGCGCTGCCGAAATTTCTGCAAATCCAAGGAGTTGGTTAAATTTTGACTTTTCAAAGTTCAACCTGTCTAAAGTCCATATATGGCTTAGTAAAAATCTGGAAAGTCTTCCCTTCTAAAGGGAGTGCTGCCCAAATTTTTGCTAATTCAGGGAGTTATACAAAATTGAATTTTGGAAACTCAAAGACCATTTTTGCTTTCATATTTAGGCTGATATAAATTCTGAAAAGACACTTTCCCAACGAGAAACGCTGCCGAAAATTTCTTGATTTAGAAGAGTTAGATTATATTTTGACAGGTGGCGATCCTGACAATCTACCCTGTATAGGGGAGATTATGCTAGGGTCTACCTTTGCTTTGGGCACTGCTTAAAGGTAGACTTAGGCTTAGTTAATCAGGATGATCTGAGTGAGATCGTGATATGAGGATTATTCTCCATGGACTTATATGTTTAGCCTGGGGATTGACTTGTCTTGTGTTACAGGTCCTCTGGACCGTTTGATTCAGGACTTGGACTAGTTTCAGCTTGATCCGCAGGGATCATCCTTTGTTATCATTGATAACAGGTCGGTTGCCGATTCGTCGGTTTACGATTCAACTTCAATCCACTCCTCTCACCCAACCTAAAGGTTTTAGCTTTGTGATTTGAACTGTTTCGTTGTGTTTGTACCCGGACTTTATTGAATGGCCATCCAATGGAAGTACTGAGTATTTATTTATGAGTTACACGAGTGAGGCTTGTATGGCTAAAGCGAGGGGTATGAGTGCAAGGAATGGTTGAAGTTGACCCCGTGTAGTGCGTGGACTTTTGTTGAATCTTTGATGTGATTGCAGGTGCGTTGGTGGTTCGGAATCTGGCTGTGATTGCCTGCGATTACATACATATATGGTTGAGAGGAGCCCCACTATGACTGTGAGAAGTGATCGTCCTATATAATCAGCCCTCATATGCTTATAAATGCCCTGAGTGTTTAAGAGGCCACTGTGATTGCGCATAAGGGTTAACCAGATTGTGCCCTGAGAGAAAAGGGGGATTCTCTTTTTACCTTTGTTTTTTGGAGATTTTTATGGTCGGACATTAGTCCTGGGCAGGGATTCAAGGTCCTTGTCCAGGACATCCCAAGCCCTGGATTCTGCAGGGAAGGCATCTGCTCCCGTGCAGAGCCTATTTGCCTTGCCTACCGAGACGCTTAGACCAAAGGTCGGAGGTCTCGCGGCGGCTGCACGACTATTCCTTCAGCCGTGCAATGTCGTGAAGGACTAGACCCTCACGACACTTCGAGTCTGACACTTGAGTGTCATAAGAGTCAGTCGGATCTTCGAGGGACCTCTTGATTATGGGCACTACATAGTACGCCATCATTGTGACTGCTTGCGTACGCTTGCATTGCGAGTCATTATGAGTTAGCCCTGTGTCAGCGTGGTTTTATATTGAGTCTCGCGCGCAATGCCTATCCGATTTCCGCCTCGAAAAGTTATGGGTTGGCTACCGAGGGGCTTGGAGCGTTGTAGCGTTGTTTGTATTGTGTCGTGCTGTATGTGTGTGTGTGTGTGTGTTTTATTTTGTTGTGTGTTCGTAAAGTGGTGTGCGCGTGGTGTGTGGGATGCGTCCTAGTCGACCGACGACGAGCCGCGCTTGGGACTTCAGCCCCCCAGGATGTCGATTCGCGTGCAGGCCCGATAGGCGTATTACCGCGCGTACCCTCTATGCTACAGCGAACGAGAAACGCCCTCGGCTGACCCACCTCTGCGATTGCAACCGAGTAGCTTTCGTACTGTGGACTGGTAGCTCGGCGGGGATACGCCCACGGAAGGGAGGTGACCGCTCCCGTAAGGTGGAGGTAAGTTGTGCCTCGCGTAGACCCTATCGTGTCGTAGCTCGGTCGGAGCGGCCTAAGGAAGCTCCATTTGTGGCTCACGAGAGGTATGGCTGGCGCACTCGGTCGGAGCGGCCTAAGGAAGCTCCATTTGTGTGTTTGCGGCAAGGTTGGTCCAACTCCTGCGTGACGCGGCCGAGAGGGTCCCGCGCTGCCGCGTCCGGTGCTGGACCGATGCACCCGACACCGATATCGGAGGAAGACCGTATGAAAATGTTGATAGCAAAATGCTTTGAGGACGGGTTAATTCCGGAGAAGTTTTGCCACGGAGAATGGATAGTGGAAGGGGGAATTCGTCTTTTTAAAGTGAACCCTGGGCTTGACGCCATGGTCACTGCCTGGTTAAAAGAAAGAACCGTTATAGTGATCTTTCAAGGGGAGGCAAGGGACTTGCCGCTGCGGATCAGAGAAGACTGGGTAAGGGCGTATGAGAATGGCTGGTACAAAGAAAAAGCGTTTGACCGTTCATTTAGGAGGGGGAAAATTCACGGAGAAGGCCCGAACGTCCTCTCGTACGTAGTGAAGAGAAGAGAGGTGGCGAGGTGGATGATTGCTAAGGGGGAAGATAAAGTTGAAATCCGGGGGATTGAATATGCCATGGTCTTCAAACCTTGGATGACGAAGGCCGAGTTGGAAGAAAGGCGAAGGGTAGAGGATGCAACCAAGTTCTGGGTGATGGCTCTGAGACTGCCGCTTCGGGTGATGTTCCACATTGAAAGTATGGTGGAATCCTCGATGGGGCAGATTGTCAACTCTCTTCCTCTAGAACCAGATAAGTCAAGACCAAAGCTCATGAACTTGAAGTTTGAGCTGGTCCGAGAAGCGGAGGATCGATTCGAAGAAGAGCTCCCCATCAAGTTGGACGACGACGAAATTTACTATATTAAATTCGCCTGTAAGAACACTCCGTGGTGTGAAACGTGCCAATGGTACTTTCACACAGCGACAGATGGTTGTCCAAGGATGGGGGAAAGTCGACCAGATCAACAAGCAGAACCGGACGTAAGAAGAGGGAACGAAAGAAGAGGGCGAGGAGGCGAACTGAACGGTGAATTGAACGGGAGCTTCCGTGCGGCAGCCAGAGATGTGCAACCAAGGAGAGCTTCTTCCCCAGACGCAGGTTCATCGTCTCACGAAAATCTTCGGGCTGGAGGAATTCAACCTACGCCAACAGTAAGGTTAGTCAACTACGTCCAGGGCAGTGCCTCAAACAATCAACGGAATTGTTCGTATGTTTCCCCTCAGATGCATCAAACTCATCTGCAAGGAGCCTGGGTTCAACAGCAACAGGAGCCGTATTCAATGGCCGGTTATCAACCAAGAAAGGCATACCAGATGCAAGCCTTACTCCGGATGCTGCAAAATGACCCAAGACTCAATTCTCTGTTGCCGGTGGGGGGAGCGACCCCGTTGACCACGCATCCAACGTCTTCGCACCTATTTGGAGGGTGCCAATATGCAAGCGCTCCAGTCGGTCCGTATGGCGGTGTCTCCGACAGTCCGTATTGTGGTGCTCTCAGTGGCTATCCAATCAGACATGCGACAGACTTTTAGAAATCCTTTGCACCCTATCAGAGGCAACCCATCGACCCAAAGGGCAAGGAGGTGCATCAAGAGGAAGGCTTAGGAAGAGAAACCGATGGAGTAAAGGAAATCCACCAAGTATTATCAGGAGTGGAGCAGGGCATTCCAGGTGGTTCTCAAGGACCGAGTGTCAGTGGAACGCACGCTGCTTCACCGAGCTATATCCGAGGAGGAGTCGAAACACATCAAGGAGGTGCGGAAGGATACAAGGAACGCTGGCTTATGCCACTAGTCTGCACTATGCAGGGACAAGAGATCCACATCATTGGCGTGGTCAGCAAGGAAGGAAAAATGGTGTTACCAACCCAGCAGATTGATGGATTGGCGACCCTGGAGGTGATTATTCGCAAAGTAAGGGAACTGTTTGCCGATCGTTTTAACTTCAGGGTCTGCCCTGATGGACTGATGCCGAAGCTTGATGTGGAGCTTCCGAGAGGTAAACGTATTCGCTACTCCATCCCTCTTATCGACGCTCACTTTGAGCAAGATCAATGGTTGAATATCAGCAGCGTAGGATTGACGAGTGTCCCAATTAATGCGTTTGCTGACCCCTCCCATGCTATGCTGTCGCAGATAGTGGTTGATCCCGGAATCCTGACCATTGCCTTTCAAGATCTGAGAAATAAAATGTCATCTTGACAAAACTTTTTCTCAGAGCTGTTTGCAAGGAATCTCAGCGAACCTTGGTCATATGGTTCGAATGCTGTTTGTCAGATGGCAATTTCCCCAAACCGCATCCATCCTACAGGCGGTCCATTAGGAGGAAATGAATAAATTAAAAATAGCAACATGGAATGTGAATTGATTGAGGGATTCGGGTGGTAGAGAGAAGGGAAAGAGGTTGAAGTCATGGATCCATGATAAACACATCGACGTGGCCTTAATTCAGGAGACAAAGCTGTCGGAGGTGAAGTTAAATAATATGAAAGAATGGTGGGATGACCCACAACTTTGGTCCCCTGCTAGGGGATCAAGAGGAGTGGCCATCCTCTTCCACAAAAGAACCGACGCCAGCCTTGTGGACTGTGACTCGGATCTGTGGGGGAGATGGTGCTGGGTAAAGGTGTTGATCGACGGACAGGAGTGGTGTTTCGCTTCAATCTACTCGCCGAATGAACAAAAAGAGCGTCATGAATTCTTTGAGTCCCTCGCCTTCTGTCTTTCGAAATCGGACAAACTTGTAGTTGGTGGAGATTGGAATGTGGTCTTGAAACCAAAGATAGATGTCGAGGCAGACTGTGGAATTCATTCGGATCAGATGGCATTATTTAGGTGGATAGATGCGTAGTCCTTAGAGGATGTTTTCAGAACAATGAACCCGCTGACCCCGGGGAACACCTGGTTTGGCTCGGCAGGTCCTTCAGCAGGGGTGAAAAGACGATTAGATTATTTTTTGATTTCTGAACATCTGGCGAAGGTCGTTTTGTCATCTCAGGAGGAAACTGATTCGCTGTCTGATCACAAACCGGTGATCATCACTGTCCGGACGTCCAATGACTTGACACGCGGACCTGGATGCTTCAGGCTTAATACTATGAACCTGGAAGATGAAGGTATCCGTGAATGGACGGAAACCTTCTGGGAACAGTGGAAGCAGGCAGCGGACCTCTTCGTTTCCAAGGCAGACTGGCTTGATGCAGAGCTCTGTATTATTTCCCAGAGATTGGACGCTTACTCAAGGATTGCAGCATATCTCAGAAACACTAAGGAAATGGAGTGTAAGAAGAAGGTGGAAGAGGTTGAAAGAAGAATGGGGAACACCCAATTTCGGACCAGGTATGGGCGGTGGAAAGACAGGAAAAACTTAAAGAATGGGACGACATTCAAGTGGAGAAACAGAAGAGATGGGAACGGATCCTGCAGGAGAAGGGTATAGCATCGGGGGACATAATGTCTAAGGAAACCTTCAAGAAACTTCTACCGGCAAACAAGAGAGTCCAAGTGGGTGAATTGAAACACCGTTTGCGGCCGGGAGCACCTCTGGAAAGAACAAATGAAGACATCTGTGAGTACGCTGCTGCGTATTACAGCAACATCTTTACATCAAGGAACCCACATCAGAATTTTGGTACGGATTTGTCCTTGGATTCCCCTTTTTGGGACCAAGTACCTAGCAGACTGTCACAGGTAGGAGTTTTGGACTTGGAGAAACCCATTTCCATAGAAGAACTCACACAGACGATGAAATCGTTGGCTAGAGGGAAAGCCCCGGGTGACGATGGCTTGCCCATCGAATTCTTTGAAACTTATGGGGACATGTTAGCAGAGGACCTGGTGGAACTGTTTAACAACATTAGAGAGGGAGGCAAGTTAGGTCGCACGATGTCTAGAGGAATTGTTACCCTGTTATACAAGAAAGGGGATAGAGACGAGGTGCGGAACTATAGGCCTATCTCATTGCTGAACGTTAGCTACAAACTGTTAGCTAAAACGTTAGCAGTAAGACTAGGCAGATATCTCCCGAGCTTGATAGGTAAGCAGAGGTCATTTGTAAAGGGCCGCTCAATCTTTGAAAATGACGTGACGGTTATTGAAGCCCTGGAACTCATCGACAGAGACAACAACAACATTACAGTGCTAATGCTAGACCTAGAGAAAGCGTAGGACAGGGTAAATTGAGCCTTTCTGATGATCACGCTGAAATTTATGGGTTTCGAAGCCAGTTTCTGTTGCTGGGTGGTGGCACTATACGGAAATGCGACAGCGGCGGTCTGTGTGAATGGCTTCCTCTCAGGCGAGTTCTCTCTCTCAAGATCCCTATGGCAGGGTTGTGCGCTGACCCCTTTACTGTTCGTGGTACAGTTGGAGGTCCTGCTCTGCAGCTTGAGAACCAATCCGGGGTACAGTGGCTTAAGGCTACCAAACGGGAAACAATGCAAGATCAAAGCTCTTGCAGACGACCTGTTTGCTGTTTCAGCGAATACAGAGGTCTCATTGAAAGCCTTGAAAGATTGTCTACTGATCTATACAGAACTATCTGAAGCAGCTGTAAATTGGTCAAAGTCCCTTTTTTTCCTTCCTGAGCAATTTCAAAGTGCAGTAGAGTGGGGGATGGAACAGGTGTCTGTTGGTAATGCGAAAAGATTTTTGGGAGTTCAGGTTGCTCTTGGTGACTGCTCCGAGGTACAAAACGTAATTCTCACCCAGAAACTTACTAACAGAATCCGCAGTTGGGGTAAGACCAGACACTTGTCTTTAATGGGTAGAGCACTGATCCTGAAAACATCAGTTTTTGCCCTGCTAGGATATGTAGGGACTGTTAGGAAGTTTTCGGGCGCCCTGCTGAAGTCTATTAAAGATGCCTCCCGTCGGTTCCTGTGGAAACCAGATAGCCAGGATAACCAAGGATACATATCTAAGGGGGCATGGGAAGTAGTCTGCAGACCTCGGGAGGAAGGAGGGTTAGGGCTGTTAGATCCGGAGACCCAAAACCTCGCTTTGTTGAGTAAATGGGTGGGGAAGGCAACAGAGAAAGGGGACAAGGTGGATTGGGTGGCCATGGCAGAGATGCTGCTGTCAGAAGAATGAGACCTTAGCAGGATGTCTGATGTGTGGGTAGCTATCTTTCACGATTGCTTCATCAATAAGCGTATTAAGTCTATCTTTTGGAGGGAAGTTCTTTCAGCATGGAAGAAGGTGAAACCCCCTCTGAGGAAAACTCCAACAACAAAGGCAGAAGTCAAAAGACAACATTTTTTTGACAATCCATATATCACAGGCAGAGCTGGTCTCCCCTTCCCAGCAGATGCCAAAACAGGGAACTATGGGATGAGATGGATTCAACGGGGGGTTTCCACGGTCGCAGACCTATGGGATGATTTGACGAACTCCTGGTTACCAGAAGAGCAGTTGAAGGTTAAGTTGGGCCAGCTGCCACACCAGGCAGCTAGGATGTTGGAACTCAGGGAAGGTATCCCAGGTGAGTGGGTAAGGCTCATGGGCCGAGAGGGTATAAATCCTGTAGACTCCTGGTACGTTGAGAGGCAAAGCGGAGATACAAAATTCTATAGATTACAGGAATGGATTGATGATGGGTCGGGCAAATGCTGGATGGAAGATACAGTCCTGTGTTGCCGAATCTCCCAGAAATAATGATTTCAGGGATTAGCTGGAGGTATGGATTGAATGGGCTTGAGGAGATCAGGGTACGGCATCGTCCATCGAGATCCCCAGGGGAACCAGATATGCTGGTTGTAGTGGTTGACGCAGTCCCGTTATGTTAGATGAAGATTGACCTGGATGCATGGGGGTGGCAAGTTAAAAACGAGCCAACCTGGGGCGTGGAAAACCTCTCATCCAAACTGGTGTTTGCGATTCGCAGGAAGTTACCTCGCGCTTGCGAAATCATTACAGACAGATGGCAACGCCAATGTTCGGAAATTGAGCCACCCTCATAAAAGGAACTGACCACACTTTGGTCTCAATTGAAGGAAGTCCCCTCCCAAAAGCTGGTTTTTTTGGCCTGGCTCCAATCTCATCTGGCAGTTCCTACAGCCAAATGGCTGCAAGACCGTCAGATAGAAGTAAGAATTCAATGTGACAGATGCTTAATTGCCACAGAATCAATGCAACATCTATGGTGGGAATGTGAGATCTTGGAGAAATGGTGGAAATGGTGGAAAAGACACTGGGTGGCATTTTCCGGTATAGAACATCTGACTGGTAAGAGGTGGGTCTTGCAAGGAATAATGCCCCCTGATGTTGCTGGCAGCAAAGGGTGGGAGTACATAGCATAGGTAGTCTAACTGACAACGCTATGGACTATCTGGTTGGACAGAAATGGAAGGCGCTTCCAGGAAGAACCTCTTCAGAAAACACAGGAAGAGAAAATTTTGAGACGCCTGGTGGGGACTCAAATCAGAGCAGATTGGATTCGGAGGGTGCACGTGGGGATAGGCAGTCGGGTTTGATATGGTTCAAGGAAAACTGGGCGTTGGGAGACCGCTTGGCAAAAATCTCTCCACAAGGAAGACTCGAGATCACAGGGTGGCTGAAGTGAGTAAGTTTTGTTGCTCTGGCACAATTAGGAGTAGGAATTAGGATAACTTTTTGAATCGTGTTTTTTTTTTTGTCGTGGGAGTATCTTCTTAAGAACCAGGCACACTCGGTTCCGGTCGGCAGCCACAGTAGGCTGCAACGGGTAGGGAGGGGAGGAGAGTGTCAGTTCCTTAAAGGGAACAAGAAGGTTCCTCTCGGCCGCTTTGGGTCGGGTTCAAGCCGGATCGTAGGCATGTGCAATAGTATGTAGGGGGTCCGGATTAGATTAGATACAGTCATAGAATTAGGATAAATTAGAACTGTCTAAGTCTAGGTTTAATACAGAATGAAGAATCTGTTGATTGGTTAAGATCAGAAGTTTGCTTATAAGCGAAACCGGCTGATGCTGCCGGGATAGATCAGAAGTTTGCTTATAAGCGAAACCGGCTGATGCTGCCGGGATAACTCCGGGTTGAATTGTGAGGTCCCCAACCTCCTACAAGTGATTTTTTTTTTTTGAATACAATGTGAATTCATAAAAAAAAAAAAAAAAAAAAAA